AGGTGCTCCTGGTGTTATGAGATCTCAACGGCTGAAGTTACTTTCCGGTAGTCAACGGCTGAACCGATCTCATGAACCGACAAAAGTCAATTTAACCCAAATAAGCAGAGATGATTGTAGCAGAGTAATATAAGTAAGGATCACACTTACGACGCCATTGCTGTAGAGATGTCCGAAGAGTGTTAAGTATCAGAGCATCTGCAACATCAGTTACCATGAACTCATCTAGACATAGTAAGATTGCATCATGAGCTATCTCTTGGGCAACAACTTCAAGTGGGTCTGATAAACCCTTATGCTTATGCAAACATATTGACCGAATGTGATTGCCAAATGTTTTATGGCAGACTGGCCCAACACAGAGGGTTCTTACTTTAGTTTTTCATCATAACATGATGCATTCTCATTTGGATGGTAAGCAGCAAAAGTAAATAATAATATTCACATTGCTTATTGATATAACCTATATTTTACCACTTTTACAATCTATTTTACTATGATTTTTAAATATATTAATAAAGTTTTTCGACCAAAAGAGGTAGTTTTCTCGTATTTGTAGATTTTAAGGTCTTAACAGGTTTTATCATCAAAAGGATGTAAAATGGAGCAAAAAGAGTGTTATCTATGATGCAGCTACTCATTCAAGTCAAAGGAACYAAGCCAAGTCGTTTTATCTTGAAGATAATGCATATTCTCAAACTGGACAGAACGCATACGCCAGAAGTTCGCTGATGAACGGAGGATCAAATCAATTGGGAATTTAATGAAACTTGGTATGGAGATATCCCTTTGAGTTAGATTTCCAATGGAGTTAGAATTTCATCAATTGGAGCTGTACTTTAGAAGATACACTGGAAACACTGAGGATATGTCAAACTGTCTTCGAAGTGAAGTGAGTGCACAAGGAAGCCAAGCACCGGGCCGCCCATGGGCCGATGATCCAGACCTTTGCCGACCTTCTAGAAGCACCAAGGAAGCCTCTAATACCGGTCACGAAACCCGACCGTTATTGTGACCGGTATTGCCTCAGTTTCGACCAAAAAGATGTTTTTGCCCGAAGAAGCCCTAGCCGACTTAAGCCGACTTAAACTCCTATATATACTTGCTTTTAGCCTCTCTAGGAACTTAATCAGCCGGCCATAACAGCCTAAATCAATACCTAAACATGTATTTCGTTTTTCTCTTGTTCTTAATGCATATTTGATTCTAAAAGCCTTTAAGGATAGATTGACTTTGCCCTGTTGCGAAGAGATGAGATCTAACTCCTTACGCTTTGTAGATCAACGATTTATCTTTATGTTTATGTGCTTTACTCTTGCTGCTACGTGTTGCAAAACATGTTAGAGTACTAGCTTTGATTTGATTTCTATGCACCTTCTTAATTCTATGCTTTTACATACTTAATCGATTAGAGTTTCATTCTAGAATTG